CAATGTTGACCGCCATCATCCTCATCGATTTTTCTTACTAACGGAAACGCCAAAAAACGTTCAAGACATTTTTATCATACTAGTTCTTATTACTATGTATAACTGAATGGTTTATTGCATTCCCTAAGCTTTAAATTGATAAATATTTCTTTATTAATTAATCTAAAAGAAAATGTTTTTTTATCCTAAAAATAAATTAGTTCATTAACTCGTTTAAATTAATCGAGGTTAATGGACGTTCATTAATAACAAACCTGGTAAACCAGAATAAATTTGCACATAGAAGCGTACTCACACTTGCAATGCAAATTTCTAAAACGACAGCAAATATCCGTTACGCGAAGCTCGCGGCGTTTCGATAAAACATTTCGATTCGACTCGATCATTAATATTACTGCAACCTCAACGTTACCAATTAAGCCACCTTCTCAACAACCACTTTAGTAACAGCAGCACCAACAGTTTCGGTTCTTTTCAACCAGTAGTAAAATAATAATAGACTTTGCGACATCCTTTCACTCCTTCACCGTTATACACCTTGCTATTAAATCTTATTGTTTTATTCAGGAACAATCCACGGAATAAATTATAAACAAACGCTAATAAAAATTTAAACATAAAAATATTTAATGTAAAAAAGAAAATGTTTATCGATTTAGGATAAAAGTAACCCAATAAAAATTTATTGCCTCTCCTTTGATAAGTAACAAAATCAAATTTTACGTAACAATTGCCCTCTTCACCAATAATTAAAGTTCAAACGTTCTTTATACCTTTAGGGTTTTCGTGATTTCAAAACTCGAGGAGAGAAGTTCTCCTAGAAACGATTTCGAAAGTGATTCGGATTTTAGTTGCATTTATTACCTTACCGTCCACTTAGATGAAGCAAACGAAACCCAAGAAAAAAAAACAGGAATAAAGGAGTTAAAAGAGAAAATATTTCGCGATTTCTAAACGACATTTGTACGGATTTGGAGAATTAAGCCAATCGGTCGATTATGTAGCCTTTTCGAAAGTGAAATTCCCGTCTTACTTTAGATAGAAAAAAAAAATAGCTCAATTATCAAAATCCAATTAAAACGTTTCCTCTGAAAAAAGACCACACATACATGACTTCATTCACACACGCACGAAATCAATTGAAAATTACGTTGTGACACTAAACCGTTTATGGGTTTAAATTACTTAAAATAACTTCAATTTTCAAAAAAAAGAACTAATTTAACGTAGATAACGAAATAAAAGACACAAAAAAGTCGCAAGGGAATACACACAAAATCGGCCTTAAAGATATGTGCTCAGTAATTCTCCGGAAGAGGTTAGAGATAGGTGTAATTAATATTAAATTCGTCCAAGTTATTATCAGATAATCAAATCAGGAATAAACAGACACATGCATTCTTTGGTATTGAAGTGCCCGTTTTTCATCACATCTTTCTATTTAGTCATTTAGGCTCCTTCGTCCTGATTGTATGTTTGATGTTCTCACTTCGTTCTGTGTCCATCAATGCTTCATAAACATATACAGGGTGTATCAGGTATGAGTAGAAAAAATTTGAGGGGTTATAGGTGTCCTCTTTGTGCATAAAAAATTCTTATAACACAATGTCCCATTCTTTGTTCTTCTTAAGATATGATACCATAAAGTTAAGGGCTCACAAGTTTGAGTACTACTGGTTAATGAATACTGGTTTCGACTAAGCAGGCTTTGCTTTGCAATTTGTAATTTGTTTCTAGTTTTGTAATTTTGTTGTTTTTAATACAATAAGCAAGTTTATTTATTAAAACCAAAATTTTTGTAAATTTTCACATTAAAGAGTGATAAAACAGAAGTGATAAATTTATTCGTATATAGTAAACAACTTCTAAAAAAATATCTCAAAAATGACTTTTATGTGTTAAATAACCAGGGCACGGAACTTTTGTAACAAAACGATACCATTTCCCCCCCCACTCGTTCTCAGAAAATCTTGATTAAAAGAACAGCATACTGTTCAGTGGGAAATTAAAATTTCATCCACTCGTTCGAGAGAACCGCATACTATTCAGTGGGAAATTAAAATTACAAGTTAGCAAAAAATTTTATTAACAAACACTGTTCCTGAAGTAATTCTAAACAAATATTGTTAATAAAAATTTTTGATTTGATCAATAATTAAGAACATAATCTCAAAAAAAATTTTATATATATATTTTTTTTATTGATAAAACCGTTTTAGAATTTAATTAAGAACGAGTGGAGGGGGGAAATCGTATCGTTTTGTTACAAAAGTTCCGTGCCCTATAAATAATATAATTAATATACATAAGCAAAGTACTTAAACTTTCAAACCCTTAACTTTATCGTATCATATCTTAAGAATGTTAAAGAATGGGAAATTGTGTTATAAGCATTTTTTATTCACAAAAAGGGGACCTATAAAGGGGACCATTTTTTCTACTCATACCTGATACACCCTGTATATAGGAGAATGGGTCACTCAGGTTCTGGAGCTGTGGTACTTGTTTAGAAAACTTAACCTCAAAAATAAATGATGGTGAGTTAAACTTAGAAAATCTTGTATTAGAAAAAAATTAATAAAGCAATTCACTACACGACAGAAAAAAATAATAATGTCTTTTAAAATTGAACAATTGGAAAAGCATAATACTGTTTTGACTTCGATACAAAATTCCATAGATGTCCCTGTACCGAAAATAAATACCAATTTTAATAATCCAACATCTGGCACTAAAAAATAATGACCTCGCGCAAGGAGAAGGGTTTCGATTTGGCAATAAAAATGTGAAACCTCAATACTTAGAGATAACATCTAGTAATTCAAACAATACTCGAACTTTGTCAGAAAGTGACAATGATTTCACTACTGTTTCATATAAAAGGAGTAAGTCGCCTTTGAATACTATAAAGAGTGCAGCAATGAATACTATTCTAAAGGGAAGTGTGCAATAAGCGAATTTGCTGTTTGATGAAGATGTGTGTTTGTGGCTTACAACCCGATACCACAGAAACGGAAATTAAAAATTACCTACAAGGTAAAAACATAAAAAACATAAAGTGCGAACAAATGACAGCAAAACGACCTATTGAGCATTCCTCATTTAAAGTCTCTGTACCAATTGAGTACCTAGATCGAACAAAACAGCCTGATTTATAGCCAACTGGGGAAAAAGCAAGCTACATAATTGATTAATAAATAAGTTAAATGCAAATAAAGAATATTAAAAGAGTAATAAAATCAAAAAAAAAAAGTAGAAATAATAAATATTAATGCACAGGGATTAAAAAATAAAATAAACCAACTACAATATGATATCTATTAGATAAATCAGAGTGGAACATAATTGTTATTACAGAACACTAGATGACAGAAGTAGAGATAAAAATATAAATTTGAAAATTATGTAATTGCATCTTATAATTGTACTAGAAGTCTTTTCGAGATGTTTTGCTATTATTAAATAAAAAATACTCATCATATTCAATTAATTTAGTAAAAATCTCACAATTAAATTCTGTCACACGGTAATAATGAACAATTTTTGGAAAAAACGGAAGAGGTCTTGTATTTCGTAAAGGAAACTCAAAACGTTAAAAATATATTTATAATGGGAGACTATAACATATGTGTTAATGAGAACTTTAAAATCAAAGAAAATTTTTTATCTATTATGTCAGAACATGGACTTAAAACCAGTCTTTCCCTAGATTTCTAGATAATTTATTACCACCTTTTCACAGAGTGCAGAAATCGCAAAGTATGTTTATATACATTTCAATCAAGTTATTTAATGCTTTACCATTGAGGTTAAGGAAACCGGGGGGGAAAAATATTTCAACGGGAAGTGAAGAGAATGTTGTTAAGAAAATGAACTTTATTCACTTGAGGAGGATGCAGAATTACAAATAAAATATTTTTTTTTTCTCTGACGTATTAAATGTACCATGTTTTTGTGCATTTTAGAAATAAAAATTGTTATGTTACATTGTTATAATAAGAAGCGAACTTAAGATTAACATCTGAGAGAATCAAAAACATAAACGTCAACACAACGGCAAGCTGTTAAATGAAATTACCGATTTCAATTCATACCACCTCTGTTTCCATTCATTTCCATAATTGCCGTCTTCGTAACTTGAATTGGTTTGACCTTGAGGATTAAATACAAGCGCTAGTCTTCACACGTTGTCCAGTAAATTAGGCATTTTATCAACAATTTCATCATTATATATTTAAAGTAGTGTAACCTTAATTTTACTTTTCGTGTCTATGTAATACAACTTTAAGTTAACCTTAATATTCTTTATATTATTAAAATCTTGTTGATTATGGTTATTTTATCTGTGATCGTTTTTAGCAATTAGCCTGATGATGTTAACCGAAATCGGTCAATAAAATAGGAACATCATTAAATAAAAAAATTTTGTTGTGAATGTTTTAAATTTTGCAAACTTTTTTCATCATGAGAATGACAACGATGGAGCTTCGCAAAAGGAGAAAGTGTGGGAATTCGGTATATTGCGAGCACGAAAATGAACGAGGTACGAGATGAGCGAGAAAGAAAAGTGGGCGTGGGCCGGTCTTCAACAACACTATTTCTTTTGCTTTTCTTTTCTTTTATTAGCGAAAGAAGATTTTTTATACCGCACAAGTAGAGAGAAAAGTAATTAGCAATAAGAGTCTTCTTCTGTCGAAGATAATCACAAACCCGTAAACGGCAGCACAAGAGAAATCGCTTAAATCGCCCCGAGAGTGACAAATCGGCTCGTGTCGCCTCGCTTATTAACATTCCGGGCACTCTTTCTGAACCGATTCTGGAAATTGCGCTCGCGAAACGACGACCACGTTCGAGTTTTAGAAGGATTCCGAGCATTTTTACGATCTACGAGGTTCTTGAAGTTACGTAAACGATTAAAAGAAAAGTGATTCAATTAAGAAACAAAATAAGCAAATAATAAATAACTTTCTATTTGAATAAAAAAAAATAAATTAACTTACGTGTAACTGCCGTGGGTGTTATGACATTTCCCGTAGACACACGGTTTATTCCTGCATTCATCTCTGTCCTCCTTGCAAGCTTTGCCGGTAAAGCCAGACGGACACTTGCACTTGTAAGAGTTACCCACCGGGGTGCAAGTGGCCCCATTCATGCATGGCTGCGAGGCGCAATGATCTTGCTTCTCGCAATGTTTTCCTATAAAACAAAATCAAAAAGTGATACAATCACATTAAATATTCTTTTTATTTACCTGTATACCCGGATGGACAAAGACATTGGTACGTTTCTAAGGTGGTTGTCAGAGAACAGGTGCCCCCATTTTGACAGGGTCGACTATCGCACGAGTTCGGGTCGCGAATTTCACATAGGGAAGCACTGAACCCCAACGGACAATCGCACGAGAACCTAGGATATTTGTCCGATGACACCTGCACCTTGCAGGAGCCGCCGTTTTGACATCTGGCCCCGGTGTAACACGGATTGTCGTACTGGCAGTACTCCCCAACGTATTTTGCTGTACAACTGAAACAAAAAAAAACAATTACTATATATTAAAAAAAGTATATATTAACTTATTGTTGGAGAGTTCATAATTCGAAACAAAACCGGACGTGGGTTAATTCATTTTTTCTTCTTTACTGACTCCAAAGAGAAGTAATTCCAATTGATGAGTTATTCATGTATTCATTATTATTTAAAATAAATTCAAATCAACATCATTTCAATATTGAGATTTAAATCAAGAATATTGTAAAAAACAAATTCTTCTGTATAAGCAAACAAGACGGAAGGCGAACGTAATTCAAGAATGGTGAGAAGGGCATCGTGGATATACTCGACCGAAAGCGGCGTCACGTGGTCGCCGCTCTCAAGAAGTGAATACGCCCACATCGACGCGCGTAAGATAGAAGGCCGAGAGAACACAAAAGACCAGGCCCACGGCAACGCGCCGGGAATAAAGGGGAAAGAGAGAGAAAGAAGAACTAGTCTTGATGCTGGCGCGCGTTTCTACCATCTATGGTATGGCAAAACCACGGTTCCACTAGGTCTTCGACGACCGAGAATATCTTAAAACTAAAACATTTTAATCATACAGCGTATATCTAACATTTTTGAAAAAATTTAGAAAATTTGGAAATATGAAAGTTACTAAATGTTTGTTCACGTGACTTACATAATCAGCTGAGAGGCGATCTATACATAACCTCAAGAAATTTCCATTTTATTCCAAACACGTCGGGCTTTTCACTGTCTCTTTGTACGTGATTAGAAGAAGTAAACAAGGAGGGCGAAAATATGTGCAGGGATTCCCTGTTTGTTATGTATTAAATATTTTCGGATATATTTATTTTTTTGGGAATCTTTTTATACTAACAAAGTTGGTTAAACAGCTAAAAGCAGCGCATAGATCTGGAAACTGATGAAACCGAAGTTATACACGGTCATACTTTGATGCGTTATGAAGAAGAGCAAATTTGCATTCGACATTCTCTTATTTTGTATTCCAAACGAAAATGCATCTACAAAGAATTACAAACGCAACATATAAAGCCGAAATATAATTTGATTAAAGTACAGAAAGTTGAACCAGTATTGGTTATTAATAATAAGCGTTTTATTGTTTATAATTTACAATATGTCTCCTGTATACACCCAAATCGTCTACCCTCCTCCCCCATCTCCACATCCTCGGTCCCGATCACTTCCCTCATCCATCTTTTGCCTTCACCCCCTCTCCCAAAATCTGCTTTCTGTCCATCGCCTCCTCCCTTAGCTCACTACAGCCTCTCAGCATGTATTCCAGCGTCTCCTAATCCTCTCCACGTCATCCGCCCAATACGTATTCCCTCTCTCCTCATTGCCACAGCGGAATCTGGCCACCAATCTTTTCACTTTTTACTTCACTGCTCTTCTCCCAGCTTCCACCTTAATCTCCTCCCTCACTACATATCCTTGAGTCTCTCTTGCCACGCCTAGTACCCATCTCCAATACCTTGTTTGTACATCCTCCAGCAAAACTTGTTCTCTTCATCCCCATACTTCTGCGCCGTACATCATTGTGGTCCTCACCAAGCTCTCAAACATAAGCTTTCTTTTTCCCATATCCCTCCCAAAAGTTCTCTCCCCCCATCCCCAAACGTGTCCCATCGTCCTGTTCGCTCTTTTTGCCATCGCCCTCACGTGCGACCCGACCATATTACTTTCGAAGAACCTATATCCCAAGTACGTATACTCTTTCACTTCCTCTATCCAACTCCTTCGCCATAAGATCTGACCAGAGACCTCATCATCTCCTTCATCTCCACCGCCTCTTTAGTCACGACCACCAAATCATCCGCATACGCCAACGCGTGCACTTTTGTTCCTCCTATCACCACCCCACCCATTTGCTCCCTCACAAGTCTCTCTTCCAAGTCCGCCGTATACATCGCAAATAGTGTGGGACTAAGCGAGCACCCTTGTCTTAATCCCTTCGTCGTCCAGAATACCTCGCTTAACTCTTCCCCCACTTTAACCTTGGCCATCTACTGTTCTGTGATACGCCTCCTCCTCATTTCCTCCCACATCTTCCATCAGGGTGATCCCTCCATAATTGCCCACCACCCTTTTACTCCCCTTTTTATACAGTGGGCATATTATCCCCATCCTCCACCTGTCCGGAACCCCTCCCCTCTCCATACGTCGTTTATTACCTTCCATAGCTTCTTCTTCACTGTTTCCGTCGCCTCCAACCATGCCTCATTCTAGATCTCTTTCTCTCCTGGCGCCCTTCCCTTCTTCAGTCCCCTCAACACTGCTTCCACTTCTTCCAGTGTTATCTCCTATCCCCCTTGCACCCCTCGCTTTCCCTCTCCCATTCTTCTCTCGTCCAGCCCTCCCCACAATCCCATGTAGTAGGTTCTCCATTCCGTCATTTGTATATCTCTGCTGACATTCTCTCTTCCCTTCCTCATTCTCTTTAAGTATCTCCATACCTCATTTTCCTCTTACAACTCCCTAATCTTCTCAGCCTCCCTCTTTTTTTTCTTGCATTCTTCTTTGTATTTTCTCCTGCCCTCTATATATCTATCTATCCCTACCTCCCCTCTCCGCACTGTCTCAATCTCCTTCTAGCTTCTCTCTTCGCCTCTCTGCATTTCTTCCCAATCTAACCTCCCGTCGCCCACTCCCTTTCTTTAACGTCGCCTCCCTAACCACCTCAATCAGTTCATTCATCTATTCTTCTGTCTTTCGACCAATCTACCCTAATGTGTTTCTCATTATCTTTCTGTTCCCTCTTCCCCGCACCCTTTATGTACACTTCTAGTGATAGGTGATCCGATTCTACCAACGCTCCCACCCTAAATCTTTCCACTGTTCTATCCCACATACCTTGGTTTACCATTGCATAGTCGATCACTGACGCCCCCCATGCCCCGGTGTAAGTGAATTCCCCCTCTCAGTATGTATTGGTTATTATCAAAGAATTTGCAAGAAGTGCCGTAGATTAAATACATTAAACCTGCGAATTCTTGAGTGTGAAACTTAACGTTATTTTCCAGAGGTATATGAACACGAAGCTGCAACAAGACATCGGCGTAATGAATCGTGTTTGCAGGAAAAATCATTGTCCCAATTTTGGTGTGCTGTAAAGCATTCATATCTTTAAGTTTCTATGGTTGCGTTAGTACCAATTGGTTCCAAAAATTTAATTTACGTGCTTTAATATAACATTGGAGATTTCTCTTATTTGATTGTTTCTTGAGAAATTTGAGTTTCTAAACAATTTTAGCTTGTAGATAACGCACTTTATACACATAATTTAGAATTTCTAAATTGGCTTATTCTTGAAGTACATTTCTAGTTTCCATTTTTATACATTTAGCATACAATTCCTCCTTTACATGACAACATTTGTGTTTGTCAACAAATCAACCGCAGTTCTTGTAACATGATCATCATTAACAACTATTCTTATAATATTGCTGTTAATACCATCTTTGTTATGAACCAGAATGCTACCTCGATTATCTAAGTATCTTGTAATTGCGTTATTCATAGTAAACCGTCTTACTTCTTGAGTACTACTTTTCTTTTCTTGTTTTTCTTTATATAAGATAAACTTTGGTTAGGAATTTTTAAGTATTTTGCTGAAATTTTTTATAGATCTCATTAAGTAATTATTTTTTAAGTGAGATCACTTCTTAGGAAGTCACAGAATCGCTTTAATAATCCACCTCATCTTACGAAGCGAATTCTCTCACGCAATCCGAAATAATTTCCAACGGACGAGAAAAAATCGCGAACTCCTAATGGACCCAACACGTCAGTTGTTGGTCATGCGTAATAAGTATACCAATAAGAAAAAGAAGAAATAAAGAGTATCAAAAACAAGAAAAAGGAAAAGAGCTTGGGATATCATTTATTATTATTGCTAACGAGCGCATTTCGCAAATCCAAATATAACAACAATAATTGATTTACCTTTCGCTTCTTGGCGAACGTCAGCGGGATGATTAATCTGCATCAGGAAGGCCAGATAAAAACTTTACCAAAGAGAGAAAGGAAATTTTGAAATACGCATGAAAAATGTTAGTGAAATTTTTTTCCAGTAGCAAAAAAGAAAATAAAAGTGGTGCGGTGGTTGTTGGTTCTTTTTAGCCTTGTAGACGCAACATATGCTCTGCACGTGGGGCTGCGCGGCGACGAAGCCCAAACAGGAAAAGGCTCGTTTCGAACGATTCTCATCCTTATAAACGGTATTCGTAACAACTACATTCTACTACACACACGAACACTGCACCAACAGCAACTTCGGCGACCAAGAAAACCACTTGATGCGCTTTCGTTGCGTACTGCTCGACCTGAAAACGTTGTCATTTTATTACAAAAACTACCTGTTATGTTTACTTTAACCTTTTAAATTTAGAAAAATGTCCCAAAAATAATTTAAAATTCAAACAAAAAAGTATTATAAAAGACAAAAAATTAACTGTTATTTCCCACAACAAAACCCAAGAAGACGACGACGAAGAAGAAGAAAAGATGAACGATATTTCAACCGTTAGAAACATTCATCTTGTTGGTTCCTCGACTTTCATCGTGACGCTTTAAGAAAGACGACGAAAATCTAAATCTAAATAGCCATTTCAAGAAACGACAACGACAACAACTTGTTAACATTCAACAGTCATCGTCGTCAATCTCTCCTCATTCTCATTAATTTTCTTTCTTTTTTGATAGACATCGTCGTTTTAAGCCCGTCACAACCGCGGAAATCGATTTTCCTCTTCTTCTTATGCGATCTTTATTGGTCTAATTGGGGGTCGGACCGTTTTTGGCGAGAACGGCGGTCGCGCCTTCTTCATCTCTCGGCCAAGAAGAACCTGAAGGAGGAGGTGAGGTGCGAGAGAGTCCCGCGCGTTGAGGAGGAGGTCAACGGACCGAGAAAACCAGTTTCACGTCATCACGGCAAACAGCAACAGTAACAGCGGCAGCAGATCTAATAGCAGCGGCAGCACCAGCAGCAGCAAAACTGCCGG